GGGGAACACGGGGGGGGGGGGATGGGACGGCAGCATGCCCTGTACCCACGCCCTCCCTACAGTTCATGCAGAGCACAGCATGGAAACACGACAGGGAAACGCACAGCTTCCAGAGCCGGGGCACCAAGTTCACTAAGCACCCCTGCTGCCAGGGTCTGTGCTAGACCACAGCACACAGCCCACAGCATCCTCCAAGGTCTAGTGACCAGAGCCAGGACACCCTCCATGAAGCCGGCTGTGGACTCAACCAAACACCAAAGGTCCTCAGGGGAAGTCATCACTGTGCTTTGTCTATGCCAGGGTGGTTCACTAAATACTGGACTTCATTGCAGTGTTCTTTGGGAAGCCTTCCACAGTATGGGGTGGGATGAAGGCTCCTGAAACTATCTTCTATTTATCGAAATTATGACACCATAATTTCGATAAATAGAAGATAACTTGGTCCTGTATTTCCTAATTCTGAATAATAAAACAACAAAGCTTGGTGGTTTTAACCAAGGAGTGTGGAACCCATGGCTAGCATCATGCTACACACTGGGGCTTCTTCACACAGAAAAGCCTTTGCTTCAAATGTAAAAGCCAGGATTAAAGGAACAGGCCTCCCAGTGCTATGGCATTGTGGTTCCTACCATTATATTTTCACTTCTGACACAGCTCTCCAAAGCAGCTTAAGAAACAAGGTAAGCGCCACACAATCGTGAATAAACACCAGAGTAGTGCATAGATAACAACAGCCACAACACCACTCTAATATTCCTGGGTTTGTAAAAACAAGGCAGGAATGAATTCAGTCTTCGAACTCAAGATCCCAGTTTCTGCTATGACTTAACACCTATACCTATTTCCCCATTTTTCTGTATATGGAACATTCAGCTGAGGGCCTAACATCCATAGGTCCACTGTCTATTTAGCATCGCAAAGAGAAAATAAAACTACCCCTTTTCCATCAATGTATACAGTAAAGGGAGAAGGTTCTAGTCAGTTTTGAAAGCATGCTTATATTATGTCTATGACATGATTCCTAAAGAGCCAATGACTCAAAAGATTTTCCTGGGGCTGGAAAGATGGGTCAGCAGTTAAGAGCACTAGCTGCTCTTGCAGAGGACCAGGGTTTGGTTCTCAGCACCAATATGGCAGCTAACAACTGTCTGTAACTTCAGTTCCAGGGGATCTAAAGCCACCTTCTGACCTCCACAGGTATTCATTGCATGACACGGGTGTACTTACATACATGCAGGCAATATACTCATACATGTAAAATTAAGATAATATTTTTTAAAAAGATTTTTCTGTTTGACATTAAATATCAAGCACACTAAAGATAGTCTCTCTGCTATAAAGATGAGGATATATCCTTTCAGGGTATTTGTCACACACAGTCCAAGATATCTTTAGAGATATATATTTTTAAATGATTCCTGAAGCACAAGACTAAATAATTTCTTAAAAGCTGAAATTTTAATAGATGCCAAGCATTTATTTACACTACAGCACACTCTTAGACTGCCAAATAATTTTATGCATCATATGACAACCTAAAAATTGCTAATTGATAGAAAATATAACAAGACAGGGAAAGGAAACAGTATAAAGTCTATGCTGCATTCAGATCTTTGCCAATGGCTCATAAGCCACAGTTTCTCTCCAGGACTAAAAGGCGTATAAGATCAGAAGAAAATATTATAATGATGTTCCTTTAGGAACAAAACCAGGAAAAATATTCTAGAGAAAAGTTAGTTCCTTATGATAAGAAATAATGATGTTCTTTTCAATCCAAGACAGCCAACTTACACACCAGTGAAGAACTGCTACTTTTCTGAGCAAAAGTGTGAGGTTACTTTACCAGGGGCAGCATCTTTTACCAATCATTAACCCTACTCTCTGAATAGAAAATTCATAGCTTCTTCAGTCCTTTAAGGCTTGTTAAAATATCCAAAGCTTCTATATGCTATATCTTCCAATACCTCTTAAGTGAGTAATGGTGTCTTTTATTATGCATCAAAGAAGGAAAAAAATGAATGAAGCCATATGAACTTAGGGCAACACAGCAGTAAATGGAACAAACACAAAACAAAGCCCTTGCATGTTCCCTGGATTCCTGGGGCCAGAAACAGCTGAAGAATACATCATACCCAGGTCAGACTTCAGGCTGCTGTAGTTTTTCTAACTACCAAGCTCTCCAGTACTTTCCTTAGAATCCTAAAAGACACACTTCATTCAAAGACCAAGGCCAAGGTAGGCAGATCTTTGTGAATTCAAGGCCAACCTGGTCTATGTAGTGAGTTCCAGGTCAGCTGGGGCTACAGGGAGACCCTATCTCAAAAGATGAAAAAAAAAAGGATTGGGAAACTACAGACAGACTCATACACAGGGCTAAAGCTTTGGGAACAAAACCAGGAAAAATGCCTGTACAGTCTATAGGTCTATAGGAACATCAAGTTATAATATTTTCTACCAAAGCTCAGCTCTTCTTAGGGCAAATACACCAAGGTCACTGGAGATTTATTTCCTCTGATACAATCTGGTACTTTAATGAAAATCTGTTTTAGTTTCGTCAGCAGTAACAGCTAGTCGTTTCTGTTTGCAGATAAGCAGATAAAGTAAATCAAAACTAACTAGAGAAAAAAAAATGAAAAATGCTTTTCGGGAATAAATTTAACAAGGGTTTGGGTTTGCTTTTAATTTCTTATGCTAAGGGAACCACAAAAGTTCACTAAACTGCAGTTTGGTCAGTTGATTCCAATTTATACCAAAGTTCAGCTTTATAAATTTGCATTTTGTTCACACCAAAACAAATTTCTATAGACTCCACATCCTAACAAATGTACAATGAAGAACAAAGTTTTGGGTGCAGGCTGAAATGAGTATTGTTTCATAAGTATAAAGCAAGCAAAGAGAGTCAGAGATACTCACTTCTGTAAATAAAGTCCTTAATTAAGCATTTGGGTCAGCTTTCTTTTTAATGATTTAGGGATTTTAAGGGATTATAAATATGCTGCAAGTGTAATTTTATTCACAAGGATTTATAAAAAAAGCCTCTGAAACAATCTTTAGAACAAAATAAAGTCATTTTATTTTGCATTTCCAGTTTTGTTTTTCTGCCAACTGTTAAATAAATACTAAATAAATCTTTAAAGGCCTAGGATCTATATTTAAAACTGACCATTTCTACTGTTATATAATAGAAAAGCATTCTAAACTGCAAGAAGATGTCAGGACACATTGTACTTTGTCCCTTAGAGGACAACGTTTCTCATTGTAAGGCATTAAATAAAACAAATACTTCAAAGAGAAAAATCATCTATTCAATATAATTATTTCCCAGGAGAGGCAGATGTGTTTGTTGTTGACAATGTCAATCAGTGGTTATTTGTTGATCATAAACAAGGTATAAAAAAGAGGGAGAAACTAAAACCAAGTTTTTCCTCATTAAATCTTCTAATCCTTGATTCATACATAATTCCTGAGAATATCTTACTAGCACCCAATACATTATTTAAAGAGAAAAAATAAACAACCATCAGCCACTCTCCAGATATAATACACATGTCCATTTGTGTTATGCACCACTTTGGCCTCACAGGATTAGATTAAATCATGAAGGTATGAACAAAACCTCCTCCAATGAGTAAGATGTGAACTCTTGAGCTCATTAAGCTTGCAGTCTAGGAAGTGAGGCACATCTAAATATGTGCTCTCCAGTGTGAGGTGATGAATGCTAGAGCAGGCCACAGAAGGCTAGCCCTATGCTGAGGTCCATTCTGTGTGCCTGGATTCACAGGATGAACTACTGCCTCGACACTTGATCTATGCTTACAATTAACCAGGACTCAAATGCTCCATCTACCCAAAAGGGACCGGATGTGCTCATTGGCTGACTGGAACCATCTGGGCAGAGATAAATGCTAATGACTGCACCCTAACACAGAGCCACATGTCCTGATTCATCTCTGCCTTATCTTCCTATCATTTGGGTCTTGAGCATTTGCCACATGGATAACAGAAATGTATTATTCAGCTTCCCTAGTTCTGAAACGGCAAATTACATCAGCAATCACTACGTAGTTTTTAAATCCCACAAAGCAGGTCTAGGTCTCTACACCAACAGAAAACCCAGAATCATATACCAAAACAACTTGTCTGAAAGCTCACTTCAATTACCCACTAAGCCAACCACTGTCTACAAACTTTAAAAATAACGATGACCCATAAGAAGTAATTTAACGGCTGTAAGAGCTGACAAAAGGGGGTGGGAAAGGGTTAGGAAAGAAAAAGAAGAGTGAAAGAGACCACTGAGAGGGCCAAGAAGTGGCTCAAAAAAGTTAAGGAAGTTCTGGAGAGGGGAAGCAGCTCAGTGGACAAAGTGCTTGCTATACAAGTATGAAGACCTGAGTTTGGACACCCCAACACTATACAAAAGGCCAGGTGTGGGGACATGTGCCTGTAACCCTAGTACTGGGCTCACTGGCCAGCTAGTCTAGCCAAAATGGCAAGTCCCAGGTTTAGTAAGACCCCCTCTCAGAGAATGAGAGTGATAGAGGAAGATACCTGATATTGACATGAGCATGCACAGGCAAGTTTGTACAGTTTCTAAAAGTATTAAAAGTCAGAACATTGATAAGCAACACCAATACTAACAAAACTCTTAAGCTTATGAATGTTTAACCTGGAAGTGAACACAGATCCTCAGACTCTGTTGCCTTTCCCTGAGCACCACTTCTTTTTTTTTGAGACAAGGTCTCTCTGTAGCCCCAGCTGGCATAGAACTTGCTATGCAGACCAGGCTGATCTTGTTTTTTTGTTTTTGTTTTG